ATGGCAGATTTTGCTTCATTGAATGCAGCTGTATTCAACACAGCTCAGTGCCGGGGAAAGTTTGTCTTGGGATAAACGTTTTCAACTTGGATGAACGTGCGAAGAGACTTCAGTTATATTGTGATATCTTATTCTCCCTTTCACCCACTTCCCCAAGCGCTCGAGCTCTGTGTCATTGGTGACCTTTTCCCTGGTCGTAGAGGTCTGGAGACACTTTTTTTGGAGACCATGGTAGTTGTATCATGACTCAGCTAAAGAGAAAAGGACTTAAAGTGACACATTCTCCTCCTGCCTTGAGCACTCTTGGGGTTCTCTCACCTCAAACATTCAAACAGTGAGCCTCTCACCGTCACACAGAGAAACAGAACACTGTATCACCATGGATGAATGTGTGTGTGTGTGTATATGTGTGTGTGTGTCTGTGTATGTGGTGCCTGATTGATCCAACTACTATTTTTCTTTCACTGTAAACTTCAAAACCTGTATGACTATTCGTTTGTTAAGTAATAATGATTTTTTTACTTAGGTCTTGGTTAAATTTCTCTCCACTTTCCAAAAGCAAAACATATAACAGCAAAAACAATAAAAAATCTACCACCAATACACCAATATCTGAAACCATTCAGGTCCTTTTGTTAGACTGAGAGCTTGTAATACAACAGAGACTTGCTTGGACGCTTAACTTAGGGACAAATCAAAGCTGAGTTGTTCTGCACTTACATGCCAAAGGTGCCTTCTCATGTGGCTTGGTGGAGTAGAAAAAGACCAGACTGGGGGGCGGAACACTGTTGTTCTGAGCCAATCTCTGCATTTCCTATATGCATGACTTGACAGTTTTCTTTACTTCGATCTCAGTTTCCTCATCTGTGAAATGACAAAATGGGCTAAATAAAGTAATTTTCGAGGTGGCGTGTGTGTGTGTGTGTGTGTGTGTGTGTGTGTGTGTATTAGAGTTCACTTGGGGGCTTGTTTACACTCTCCTCCTGCCCTGCCATTGCACAGGATGACCTGTGAGACTCTTGCTGACATGCAGTGATTCTCTAAAACAGATTGTCGGTGTCTTGCTCCATCTTCTTCAGGGTGGCATTAACATTAACTGTAAATGCTCACTGTTAGAGTCATGCTTTTAAATGGAACTCCTATTCAGCACTGGATGTTCTCCCTAGAAGATATTTCTGAGTATATCCATTGTTATTTTAGAAGCTATTAGTATTATAGAATAAGGAAAATCCTAGCCGGTTGAGCAATCTGATGATAATGATCAATGTTCTAGAACCATATGTAAATCACAAGATCAATTACTTAGATCTGTAAACATTATAAATTAATATAAATAGCACTTTTTTTTGAGACAGAGTCTGACTCTGTCACCGAGGCTGGAGTGCAGTAGCACAATCTCGGCTCACTGCAACCTCCACCTCCCAGGTTCAAGCGATTCTCCTGTCTCAGCCTCCTGAGTAGCTGGGATTACAGGTGCCCACCACCACGCCTGGCTAATTTTTGGAATTGAATTTTTAGTAGAGATGGGGATTTACCATGTTGGTCAGCCTGGTCTCAAACTCCTGACCTCAAGTGATCCAGCCACCTCAGCCTCCCAAAATGCTGGGATTACAGGCGTGAGCCACTGCGCCCAGCCAAATAGCACTTTTTGATTTATGCATTTCTATATTATTTGCATCTTAGGGTGAGCATGCATTTATTAATCAAGAAAAACAGATACTAAACTTTTTCTATCCCCTTAAAAAATATTAGTAGATTCCATTTCATAAGGCTTTGTTTCTTATTTTTTACAACATGTGCTGTGATGAACCTATTTTAGAAGTTAGATCCATGTCCCTAATTTAATGGTGATGTAAAAAGGCAAAAAGATTGATAATGGTGTTTGAGAAATCAGCACTCACAGGTCATATTGCCTGCTTTAATTATAAGGAAAATATAAGCCTTATAGAAAAAGTTGTTCTCATTTTCCTGATTTAGTTTCTACCTAAATCACTCATATTTTTTTTCTTATATGTTTATGTGGATAACGAAATAGAGCAGCAACGGATACAGATCTGCCTCTGACAGGAACGTAGAGACCACAAATAATGCTGATGGCTGTTCTTTCTGACTATTCAAAAACCAAATACATTTATATAAAGTAATGGTATTTACATAAAAGAATCAGAACATGTCTTCATCCAGTGTTATGTGTAATACATACGTTCACAAGAAAGTAAGTACCACGAGGACAAGACTTGGTTTTGTCCACTGCTGTCTGCCCAGGGCCTATCATAGCACAGAGCCTGTCATAGAGGCACAATAAATATTTGTTAAATAGATGAGTTAATGAATCAGTGGGCTGTAGAGTGAAAGATGCTATCTTTATACAATGCCAAATGAAGCCGTTAATTACTAAAAAAAAAAAAAAAAAAAAAAAAAAAAAGTCAAACTTTTTTGGAGCCTAGACAATACCAACCTGCCAGCTTGATGTATCTATCCCTCACCTGAATTGACTGGAATTATATGGGCTTTGTTCTGCTGTCGAGTGCATGGGGCTGCTACATGTGTAGTAAAATGTCATCTTGGTAAGCACCCCCACCCATTTGTTCATGGGAAATTAACATTTATCAGATAGATACACAGAAAAGACTGTTGTTGCATTTTCTTTTCCATTTATTTTCTGGGCAGATGATGGGTTTGCAAACTGTTTTTGGCGACAGAGAGAACGGTCATTTGTTTTTCCTTGACCAAAAGAACTGTGAGCCAGGATCCAGCCTTGTAGGAAATGTTCAGCTCTCTGGTTTGTTACAGGCAAAGGCTGTGAATCCATGTTAAAGGAATGCCACTTGGGCTGAGTTTACAAAACACCATGGGGTAAAGTCAGGGAGAGAAATGTGATACCCTTGTGGAGCACAATATCCTTTCCTTTATTTAATTAAAGGCAATTGAAGAAAGCCAAAAGCACTGGATTGAGACAGTTTTATACTTATTTGGCAAATTTAAAGTGGTAAATCTAAATGCCTAATAACAAAAGTTGGAAAGTTGGGATTTTGGATGATGCTTTTTACATTTAACAACATTGGGGTTCAAGGTGAAAAGGCTCCCTCTACTCATATAGATAAAACTTCTCTTTAGTGTCAAGTACCGGGGCACACAAAGACAATTCTGTACAATTCTCCTATATTCCTTTGATAGATTATGCCCCCACTCTGACCTCATTCTGTGATGGCCACTGATACTAACTGGGAGAGTGACTTACCAACAACAGCACTGCCACCACCAGCACCATTTATGGAGGAGTCATTACTGGGTTTGGGGCCTCCTTAGAACTTTAGGTGCTTCATTGCACTTACCCCATTCTCAACTAGGAGCCTTATTCTCCTCATCTCAGAGCCAAAGAAAGGCTTATTTAACAGATAAACTAGAGAAAGTACATGATTTGCCAAAGGCAGTAAATTAATGTTGCTTATTTTCAGGTTTCTTAGTAAGAAAGAAATGTCAGCTGTAGCTAATAATTTTTTTTTTAAAAAGTATTCTTTTAAGGCAGTAGCCTTCAAATGGGGTGCAAGGACCAGCAGCATGGCACCACCTAGAAACTTGTTAGAATTGCAGAATCAATCCCAGCTCCACCACAGATCTACTGAATCAGACCAGCATTTTAACAAGATCTCTAAGTGAGCAGTTGCACATTCAAGTTTGAGCAGCGCTGCCTTACAGTTTTGAACTGTTGCACACACGTTGATCCTGGAATGTAGATCCCTCTTCCAAGGAGTTATAAAGCCATTTGTTAATTTTGACCTTGTCCAAGAAAACATACCTTTCTATTAAATATTGGTATTACTGGACAAGTCTCCAGTCTATTCAGCTCTGAGCAACAGTAGGCATGATTTCTGTGATCTCCCCCATGAAGTTAACCCGGTGTCATGGGATCTTAGCACTCCCAGAGAGGAAAGGTCGGGGATATTATTTTTCAGGTGCTTTCTGAGCACCAATCATCAGTCACCTGGGGCAGATTTGTAAGCCCCTCCTCAGATCTAACAAATCTGAAGAGGGGACCAAGGCTCTGCCTATTATTCAAGCTACTGGCTCAGGGTAAGGAAGACCCCAGGGAGGGTAGTGATGAGTATTTCAAGGAGATCATCCTAAAAAATAGTTTTGCTTTTTTCAGTAGCTTGAAAAAAACATTTAAAACAGTAGTATGCACATGAGGGCACCGCAGAGTTCTTCCAGGAAGAAAAGGCACTCTGCCGGCTTCTTCTTTGAATGCTTGAGAATAGGGACGAGAAATCCTGCGGTTTGCCCTGTGTCTTCCTCAGGGAGAAAGGGAGGACCCCGTTCTCCAGCATCACAGCCAAGGAGGAGACGCCAGTCCACACGCCTCCCTCTTCCCAGTCAGAAAGCTCTGTGGAAAGAATCCTTAGAGTTTCCTTTGCACTGGGGACTCACCGTTCTCTCTTGGAACAGAAATCAAGAGGGGACTATTGTTGGAGGGGTGGGGGAAGGAAGCAGGACCGGAAGAGAGCGAGGGAGAGGACCGGAATCGCCTCTGGTTCGCTGAAGCCTGGACAAAATGGGGCCTCTGCCTGGATGGAGCCCATGGCATCTCTCCCGTGACTGAGGCCCCCTGGCCATCTTCCATGGAAAGTGCAGGGAAATGAGGAATTTCACGTTTTCAGCACTGTTTGATGGAGCACCCACCTCCATCGTGCCCACCACTCGTTTCTTGCTGTTTTTCTAGTTTAGGCATTTTTCTTTCCCATAGCACAGTGGAATTTCCTCCCCTCATCCCTACCCCAGAGAATTTTTTCAGTTTTTTTTCTTTTAAGCACAAAGAAGGGCCTTCTAGCATTATCCTAAAAAAATGTATATATTGAACATTTTTAGGGTGCCAAAGAGCTCTATGCTTAATCTATAAAGGCGGGGTTCCTGAAGTGCTAGAATTTGAATTCTTAGGGTGAGAAACATGTGAAAAGTTCTGAAAGGTTGCTGACAGGCATATCCACAATCTCGCCTCCTACCTGGCTTTTAAGAGATCTGGGCAAGGAGGGACTATTCCCAGCATCGTCTTTCTTGACACTCAGGAAATACTCAGTGATGCAGCAGGCAAGTGAGAGGCTCCTCCAACATGGTCTGCAGGCCTTCTGGCACCCAGTGATTTCATGGCACAATCACCTGTCTCTGGCCAGGGAGAAGTATCCAGAGGCAGAGAATTCTTCTGATGGCAGCTTGAACCCCAGATCTCAATGGGATTGTTTGCGAAGGAAGACAGAGCCCAGTTTTGAGGGCAACAAAGTGCTGCTCAAAACTGCATCATTTTGCAGAAGGCAATCCCATTCCATGTGTATTTACAGCCTCCATATGCTCAGACACATCCCACTATTTAGGATGACTGACATTGGCTCTTTTCCCCCTTGAGTTTCCTTGGAGCAGAATTTCAGCATCACATTTTTAATACATGCAGTTGGGAAAGACATTTAATGGTGAGAAAATCCCATTTCAGAAGGATTAGGACACACAATGCCGAATGTATTTGCTCTTCAATCAATATGGATATTTTAGGAGGGGTAGTGGTTTGCTGAAGTGCTATCGCTATGTACCTGGGACATGTACCTTAACGCTTGTGTATACATACACACACTGCCTACCCAAATTCATTGGCTCTTATAAAAGATTATGAGCCAGTAGGTTAGCCCCAAATTGTTTGACTCAAGAATGTAGTATCTGATGTTCAATCTCTTAAACTTCCAAACAGATTTACTGTCCTAATTATATTTTTCTTAGTGATGTTAAAAAGAATTTGAATATTGTTAGCTAGTGGGGACAGGGAGAAAATGAGAGAAGATTTAAGTGTTACTGCAAGCAATTCATAAAGCACTTCATCCACTTACTGTGAGATATTGTGAGAATGTGAGTAACGCAGGAAAGAATGCTACTTGGAGTCAGAGAATGGAGGATTGAGTATGCGTGCTGACACACGAATGGATGGCAGATCAGTGAACTAAAATGCATATGGGAATTTAGTATATGATAAAAATAACATGCATATCAGATGAGAAAGTTGAATTACGTAATTAATGAGATTGGGACAACTGGGTAGCTATTTGGGAAAAAAATAAACATATTCTTACTTGATTTCTTACATTAAAATAAATTCCAGATAGATCAAAGACTTAAAATGTTAAAAATAAAAATATACTGTGAACCTAAAATTTTGCTTTAAAAAAATCTTCAATAAAACAAAGAAAACATAAAAACTGTAGAGATGTGTTTTTTTGAATCTCAGAGTAGGAAGGGCCTTTCTGGTTTTACGCAGAAGACTTAACATTTATCATGCATTTTATTGCATTACAATAAAAAGCTTTTTCAGGGCCAAAACTCAATAAACAAAGTCAAAAGACAAACAAAAACTGGAGGAAGCATTTGCAACATGTACCACAAAGAGCTTAGTATAAACAGAAAAATGAGCAAATGACATGAAACACATACTTCACATAAAATGAAATATAGTTAACTTTTAAACATGCACAAAATACAAGATACTTTAATTCACAATAAGAAGATGCAAATTAAAACTATGAGATACCAATTTTTATTTACTTGATCGGCAAAAATGAAACATTTGTTAACACACTTGTCTCTGGGGTTCTGGAGAGAGCTGTCAGATATTTCTGGTGTAACTGTGAATTAGCAGAACATCTATAAAGAGCAATTTTTTGAATGTCTATCAAAATGTAACATTGACTCCTCTTGATTTTATCCTACACAAATAAGATGCAAAAAGACATACCCACAATGCACTGTATCTGCCACAGCATTATTTGGACAGAAAATAATTAGAAATAGCACACTCATCCATCAGTAACAGACTGGTTAAATTAGTACAGGGCATCTGTACAATGGAATATTATGCAGACCCAACAAATGAAGGAACATAATAGAGTCCAGAAATGGACTCTAGGTATATGTTCAATTGATTTGACAAAGATGCCAATGAGGGAAAAATAGCCTTTTTAACAAATGGTACCGAAACGATTCCATTTCTATAACAAAAGAAAAAAAATGAAGTTTGGCCCTTATCTCACACCATACACATATATTAACTTGGAGTAGATCATAGGCCTGAAGGTAAGAGTTAGAACTATAACATTTCTATAGGGAAACACAAGAGAAAATCTTTGTAACTTTGGCTTAGGCAAAGATTTCCTAGTTATGACACAAAACATTAAATAAATGAAAACATTATAAATTGAACTTTATAAAAAGTAAAGACTTTTGCTCTTCAAGAAAAAGATACCGTTATAAAAATAAAAAGACAAGCAATAAACTAGGGGAAAATATCAGAAAATATATCTTATAAAGGACTTGTTTTAAGAATACCTGATAAAGGACTTATTTTATGCGTATTTTAAAACTCTTAAAATTCAGTAATGAGATAAACAACCCAATTTAAAAATGGACACAAATTTTGAAAACTTAAAAAAGACATAGAAGTGGGAGATGAGCACATCAAAGATACACAATATTGCTAGATTATGAAAATGCAAACTAAAACCCTGTTGAGATACCACTATACACCCAGTAAAATGTCTAAAACCAAAAAGATAGAAAATATTAAGTGTGGGTAAGGATGCAGAGAAACTGAAATTCCTATATGTTGCTGGTAGGAATGTAAAAGGATACTGCCTCTTTGGAAAACAGTTTGGTAGTTTCTTAAATAGTTAAATATATGCTTACCATTCAACCCAGCCATTTTACTCCTGGGTAACTACCCTCAAAAACTGAAATCATATGTTCCCATGAAGACTTGCACACAATGTTCACTACAGCATTATTCTTAATACCCTCAACTGGAAACAATCCAAAGGCTGATAAATTGGTGAGCGGATAAGCAAAAGCTGGTTTGTCTATGCAATGGAATACTACTCAACAATAAAAAGGAACTACTGATATACGCAACAATGGATGAATCTCAAAATCATCATGCTAAGAGAAAGAAGCCAAGGAACCAGACACACAATAAATGTTGAATGCTTTTGTTTATAAAAAATTTCTAAAAGCACAAAACTATAGAGACAGAAAGTAGATTAGTGGTTTCCTAGGGCCAGGGGTGGGAATGAGATCGGCTGCTAATGGGCATAATGGAACTTATTGGAGTGATGAAATTATTCCAAAATTGGATTTTGTTGATGGTTGCACAACTGTATAAATTTTCTAAAACTCAACACATTGCATATTTTAAAACACATAAATTGTATATCATGTAAATTATACCTCAATAAAACTGTTTAACTTGAAAAAAAAATGAGGCAGCTTTATAAGTTTTGATAAGGGAGCAATCTCCAACCTAGATAGTTATGTAAAAAGGCCAAGGGGCTTTAATTCTATAGAGTGCTACCACTTTTGTAATTTTTAAAAAGTACATTTTTTATATGTATAGAATATCTCCAGAAAGATACAATAAACTTGCTAATAGAATTTGCCTTTGGACAGGGAGTAGGATGGCTGGGAGACAGGGATATAAGGAAATATTTAACTGTATTTCCTTTTTGTACCAGGGAGAGGGTGGGGTGGGGTGGTTGAGACCCAGGTCAGCCACACCAGCTCTTTTATAGTGGGCAAATGTCTGAGCCTTTGTTTTCTCATCTGTAAAATAAAGTTGATCTCTAAAGATACTTCTGATTGTAAGTTCCATGCTCTGGGAATTTCCCTAAGGATGAGCATCTCACGCCTGTCAACATTCCTCTCATTCTTTCCCTGCCAGCATGTCACCAAATGCCACATATAAAACCACAACCAAAGGCTTTGTTCCTTCTCACCCAGTTGCCTCTTAGTTTATTGGGGCCCTGTTCTCTTCACAAATATGAAAAATATGTCAACCACTGTGAAATGGCAGCCTAGAATGTTTGCTAGGGGCAAACACGCAAGACAGTACATGGGAACAGTTACAGCCACGTCCTAGGGGCAGCTGCTTGAGAAGAAATCCCAACCACCTTGTTTGCTAGCAGCATGACCATGGGGAGTTCACCTGTGCAGTTTCTTCATCTGTATGACAGGTATAAAATAGCATCCCCTCTTTGGGTAGGAATTAAGAGTGATAATTCATGTAATTAATAATATTCAATAAATGGTTAGCCCTTTTAATTGTTAATCTGAACTCCCCTACTCATGGGACTAGGAGCTTTAATAGAAGTGGGGGAAAGAGAGGCATGTAAGTTAACAGGTTGTATATTCATTACCACTGTAAACTGAGAGTCCTGGTGGTGATGAAATGGCTTATTTTTTCATGCAACAACCCAAAAGGAGAGGCTGGAATAAATTCTGCTCCCTGCAAGCTAGTATCACTGAGGAAAACTTCTTCAAGAAACTTCTTCCCAGAGTCCATCCCCTAGAGTCAATTTCATCCTGAAAATGTGATGAATGCAAGCTGTGAAACGGCAAGATTATGACATTATGCAGGGTGTTGAGCCAGTTAAGTTACAGTGGGTTTCAGTTTACATGATAAATGTGCCTTAATTGACATTTGGATTAAGATATTATTAAATATTAATACGGGGACAACGGCATAACCTCTTTGCCATGGTAGTCATTCGACAAAAATGAGTTGCTGCTTCAAATCAAATGAAACCAAACCAAACACCTCTAATTACCATGATATGTGCATGTCTATTTTTCAACTTTAGTCTCAGTGCAGAAGCAAGGGTTTTATCTAAGTCCAGACAATTATCTGTGGATCCCTGTAACTTCAAGTGTCTCATAGATAGTAGCCCTCCACACATACATACACACACGCACGCACGCACATGCAAATCCCTGACAACTTTTAAAGGAGTTGAATTTCCCCTATGCGTGTAAGGTGATAGCAGACCCCTTTCACACTCTGCTTGCCTTATACATGATCAGATCACATTCTAGAACTGGATTCTAGAAGGCACAGTTCAGTTTAATGGTTGCTCTGATTACTAATTCTTTCACGTCTGTCTGCTCTCCTTAACTACATCAGAACTGTATTTGTCAGGAACTGTGTTTTAAACCTTGTTTGTACTCTCTAGGACAAGAGGCTTTCCAATTCTTCCTGGTCTCACATTAATTCTCTCAGATCCTTTGAAGAAGTAACAGCTCTTATTATCCCTACTTTAGAGATGAGTAAACTACCACTCAGAGAGAGTGAAGGATTCAGCTGAAGTCATATAGCTCCGTGGATCTTCAGGCGAATGTAGAGTTATTGCAAAAAGTCTGTACAGAGATGTCAAGTGCTTAATGTTTTTGGACTAACTAAATAATGGTTTAGAAGTATATGTACCTCTATTTATGTTATAATATATGTTATGTTATGGTCATTTATAGTAATTAACTCATTCATTGATTAATATAAATTTTAAAATGTTATTGAATTCAAAACAGCTTTTATTTTGTATTTTTCTAACTTATTAGTAATGTGCAAAATGGGATTTTTTTTTAAACTTACAAGAAGTTCTTGAACTGAGAAGTCTGGAATCCATTGAAGTAAACCAAAGCTAGGGCTCACTAATAAATTACAGAGGGTGTTTTGAAGAATCTAGTTTTCTAGTTGCAAAGAAAATTTTCATTTTTCAATTGCTACCTATAGTAGGTTTGCATGTGTGATCAAAGCCTAGAAAACGCCTGGAAGTACTGATCACTATTGTTTAATTTCTTCCTTCATCTAACAACTATCTCCCCCAAAACTTCTAATTCTTACCTTTATTATCTAAGTGACCTTGGACAATTTGCTCAACTTATTTGTGTCTTAGTTTTCTCATTGATAAGGAGAATCGTAGCACCTACCTTATAGAGTGCTGTGATGGTCACATGAGTTAATGCATGTGATATCTTTAGCACATCCTTGTCACATAGGAAATACTCAGCAGATATTGTTGCTGAATACTTAAGACTGTTGTTGACACATAGTTGGGGCTCAATAGACATTTTTGGAATGAATTAGTGAATAAATGAAAAAATGAATAGAAATAAGGACAGTTGTATATATGTAATTTTTAGTCTACATTTCTTTGGTCACAGGCAGGCAATTAGGAGAACTGCTTTTGTGCAGAGGCTACATTTGGGGAATATTCATTTTGGTGAGCTCAAGCTAGAGAGCTGATGATGTTTCTGTGTTTTCTGGCCAAGCAGACTTTACAAGTTTATCAGCTTTATCTGCTAGATGTATCACAACATGCATTTAAAAAATCAGGTGGGAAAAATTTGGGTTTGGAACTGATGTGAAGTACAGGCTTTATTCCTCATTAAAAACCATAAGAGGAAACAAGGCCGTTAGACCCTCTAAATGGGAGAAGAGAAGCAATGCTTTCTTGCCACAAACCAAAATGCTGAGGACCACAGTTATAAGAAGGTCAAAGGAAGTTAGAATGACCTTTCGTAGCAGGCTCAATGTTTAGCTAGCTTAAAAATTTACTTTCAGGTGGGGGGTGGGAAGCTGGGGAGAGATAGCAAGGGGAGAAATGCCAGATGTAGGTGATGGGGAGGAAGGCAGCAAATCACACTGCCACGTGTGTTCCTATGCAACAATTTTGCATGTTCTTCACATGTACCCCAAAACCTAAAATGCAATAAAATAAATAAATGGGAAAAAAAATTTACTTTCAGATTATCCCAGGGATAGCTATTTAGTTTACTACATAAACAGCCTTGCAACCTTATAGGAACAGTTGTTTTTGCTTTGGTTTTGTTTAGTTTTGGTGTTTGTATAGTGAGGTTTTGAAAGTAGGAAAAAAGAACGTATTGCTTGACTTTAAAAGATGAGCTGTCCTGAGTTTTGGCACTAGCTGACATGGTTTTTGTTTTGGTTTGGTTTTAACAAAGGCATTGGCCAAATGGGCCAATGAAGAAATAATCCGTTTCTCAGGTTCCACTGTCTTTTCTAATACTAGACAGTAATCAGATGACATGTCACAGCGATGATAGTAGCTAGTGCTCCTTGGAACTCCACACTGGGGAGGCTCTGTGCTGATGCGCGGACATGGAAGGAAGACCCATTTTCTGCCTTCCAGAACTTTCCAGGCATGGTTATAATAAGGGACATTAATATGCTTCCCTATTACCTACATTCACTGGCCCTGTGTCTACCTACTGGTATCAAATGAAGCAAATCAAGTTCTTTTAAGTGTCAGCTCTTTGAAGCATTTAAACATAAGCCATCAAGAACCCAGGTGTCAAACACACTTCCTTATTAACATACTAGGGAATGCCAGCCATCTCAGTAAGTTATAGTTTTATGTCTCTTCACCAGTAGGTCACAGTGCTTTTGCACACTCTCTAATTTGTCTCTGTCCATAAGGTTTGACCCACTCCTCCACCACCACCATCCGAGTGGTTTTGGCCAGTACAGAGTAGAGCTGGGCTCTCTGGGCCCAATATACAGGGTCACAGCAACTTCTGGAATTCTCCCTCAAAATGCCCAGGTGAAGGGGTCTGGAGTAACTAAATAAGAAACTTGAAATAAAATGATTGATTTTCTTTATTATTTTTTTAGATCCTCACCCCTAATCCTGTCTCAGGCCTTCTTCCTTTCTCTGTAGAACTTTTAGACTATCTTCTTACCAGTGTTTTTAGGGAAACCAAATACTAGTATAATTGCCATTTATTAAGTGTCCTTTTTCTGGTACCACATGCTTTAAATTTCTTATTTTATGAAATCTTATAATAACCAGGCAAGCTGGGTTATTAGTATTTTTTATCCCCATTTTCCATAGGAGGAAATTGTGGTTTAGAGGTTGAGCAACTTGCCACAGTTCTAGAATTCAGACCCGGGGCTGCCTGCCTCCCAAGTTTCTGCTCCTTCTCACACATCACTCAGTGTCTCTGTGATATATGAATAACGTACTTGGACATACTTAGCTCTTTGGTTGGCCATGCTAGGTGCTCAATACATGTTAGTTTCCCTTTTTGTCATCATCCTTCCTTTTCTCCCAAATAATCACATGCAACCTAAAAATGAGGAAGAGGGCTTAGAGTAGCAAAAGTCTGTGCCAGGTTCCCAAGGTGGTCAGATAACATGAATCCTGCAGTGACGTGCCTTTGGCCAGGTACGCCCTTTCCGTGGGGCTGTGGGCCAGCTCTACGTCTGTCAACATATGCAATGCCAACTTGTTTACTATCAGTGAATGTCTGGGAGTTCTTTCTAACCAATCCCTACCCCAAACACTTTCTCCTTATTTCTTCAAATAATTCTATTCACTCCCTAAACCATTTCATTAAATCCAGTGACTTTTGAGAGTTCCATAGCAGCTCAGAGCTGGCCCCGTCTTCTTTGGACTCAGGGCCCACAGGTCAGGGAAAGATGTAGACAGCACATGCCATCAGGGAGAAGAGGGTCTTGGGGCAGCCTTCTCTTTGGCTCCTCCTATCGTTGCTGGGGTTCTTTTTGCTCCTCTGAGAGCTGCGTACTATGTTACTTACAGCGACTATCATGCTCAAGTTCAGTAGTTGTCAACTGGGGGCAGTCCAGTGCTTACAGAGGTATTTGGAAATAGGGAGGGTGCTTTCTGGTTATCACAATGACTAAGGGGCATTTTTGGCATTTAGTGGCTGGGGGTGGGCAGGGATGTTAAAATTCTGCAATTCACACAACAGTCTGGCATGACAAAAAATGGACCCCAAATAGCAATGCTGTTGCCCCTGTTGAGAAGGCCAGGGCCACCACTATCTTCTTGCCATTGTCCCTCCATGTCCAGCACAGTGCCCGTCCTTCCACAAAAGCTAAGTACAAATCTCATGAATGAATGCTCTCCTTGGTACCTTGCCATCTTTCCTCATGTCTCCTCTTCCCGGGGAGCTGTCCTGCTTGCCTCTCATTTCTGGAACTGACTTTGAAAGTGGAGGACTTATTCAGCTCCATCTCATCTGTTTTCCATTCCTCTTTCCTTCCCTTATTCTGAAAATTTTCAAAATTGACCTTCTAAATTGATGAATTATGATTTACCTTTTGAGTAAAATTCAAAGACATGGCTTTCTAGGGTAATTTTAGGTAGCAGCATTTGTCTCCACAGTAGATGTAAACACTCTAAAAAGGTATTCTGTTGATGGTCTAATTGATTAGGTTTTTAAATGATTAAGTGATTTGGCCAAAGCAGCAACAGTGGCCCTGCTGACTTCCCTTCTCTGACCCTTGAAGCTACCCTTGAAGCCTGGAACTGGTGGAGGAAGGGAGGGGTGTCTTAAGGAGCCAGCAAGGAAGAAGCTCAAGCTCAAGCTGTGCCCTCTTCATCATTCCTGCTGGAGTGTCAGGAAAGCCGGTACTAAGCAAATCAAGGACTGCAGCTCCCTCCAGACAGATAACCTGCTAGAAGAGGGTCAGAAACGTGTCCCCATGAGATGCCTGTATCCTGATCCCAGTTAAGTGATAGCAACGTGATGCTGCACTGTGGAGCATTATCTGTGGTTGGAAATTTTCAGAGGTTGTGGGTTTTACTTTCTGGCTCATTCCCTTGAGAAGACCCTTAGCTCCTTTCTCTTTTGTAAATTTCACAGAGAAGGTTCTCTTCCCATCATGGGAATTCCCAACTCTGCTCCATTCAGGGGTTCTCCCATTTTCTTAAAGGGTATTAGGGAATACTTTTAAAGGTCTTAAAATAAAGTTCATTCTCATCCTTCTCAAATTGAAAACAACTTTCTGAAGGGTAGCAAAGCTCAGGGCTGGTAAGTGTGGGCTGGGAAAATCATGGAGCAGAGAAATTTAATAAGGGGGGAAAGAACAACATTTACTTGTACTTGCCATGTGCCATGCACATTACCTATTAAGTACATTCTTTAATCTGCCTCCAATTCCATGAAGAAATATATAAGTCTGGATGGATGAGGTTATGCTCCAGTAACAACCCCTATATCTCCCGACTTTAAAAAAAAAAGGAAAAAAAAAAAAAAACAAGAATATATGCCTTACTTGTATTACATACCCAGTACATAGATCCAGGTCATCTTACCTTTATGCCCTAGACTGACAGAATAATTGTGATCTAAAATGTTTCAGGCTGCTATGACAGAGAGACAGAAAATAACATGAAATTATGGACTATTTCTTTTTTTTTTTTTTTTTTTGGTCTTAATTTCTTTTTTGAGATGGAGTCTTGCTGTGTTGCCCAGGCTGGCTCAAGTAATCCACCTGCCTTGGCCTCCCAAAGTGCTGGAATTACAGGCAGGAGCCACCACATCTGGCCAGAATTGTAGGCTATTTCTTAAAGATTCCACAAGGAAATGACACATGTCACTTGTGCTCATGTGCTCGCATTTTATTATCCAAAGAAAGTCATGTGCCATGCCTGCCTATAAAGGGTTAGGGAAATGCAATCCAACCATGTGCCCAGAAGAAGAGCTAGAAATGTTTCATGAATAAAGTATTATTATCTCTGTTTTATAGCTGAGGAACTGAGGCTTAGGGAAGGTAGGAAGTGATACAGCTGGCTTTCAAAGCCAGGTTTTGTGATGTCAGCTTCTTAGCTCTTTGCTCTCCTATAGTGGGTGCATTTCAGAAGCATGTTCCATACATGGTACCCAACCTCTCTTCTCCAAATGCAGTTGCTGGGCTAAAGTGTTCTTGGGGCTTAAGAGGGTATGCACATGTAACAGATGCAGACAGGTTAAAGTCAAACCAAAATCACTGTGGCTCAGCCATTATTTTACTTAACCCACTTCAATTCTCCTTCAAGGGATTCAACACATTAGATGTGAAATCATATGTAAAATAAGTGGTATCTTTAAATACATGCAAGATTTTTCTTCTTAATCCTAGTCTCAAATGTCATAGATTTCCTTTCTTATTGCTTTTATTTGTTAAATAATAAGAGAAGAGGTGCTCCGCTCTTACTTTGTTAAGACTACTGCCTGGTGGATGTTCATAGTCCAGGGAAAAGAATGTCCCCAAATTCCCTCTATTTCTTTCAGCCAAAACAGTCTCCAGGAAAAAAAATTATAATAATCTTTGTTCAAAGGAGCAATAAAATAATAAGACTGAGAGACTGATTCTACCAGCCCTTGGGAAATCAGTTCCAGCTGATTTCTTCCTCCTGGAACCCAGAGGAAACACCCTGTTACATCAGGTTTTCATTTTGTTTTGTTTGAGATGAGGTCTCACTCTGTCGTCACCCAGGCTGGAGTGCAGTGGCGCAATATCGGCTCTCTGCAAACTCTGCTTCCAGGGTTCAAGTGATTCTCCCCTTCTGCCTCTCCAGTAGCTGGGACTACAGGCATGAACCACCACACCTGGCTAACTTTTTTGTATTTTTAGTAGAGACAAGGTTTCACCATGTTGGCCAGGCTGGTCTCAAACTCTTGACCTCAAGTGATCTGCCCATCTCAGCCTCCCAAACTGCTGAGATTCCAGGCGTAAGCCACCGCACCCGACACCCTGTTATGTCAGATCTTCTCAGACTTTTCTATTTCTAATAGGAGAGAAAAATCTGAAGAAGACATCCTAGGCAGTGGGCCACAGGTAGAATTTCAGACTTTAACCTGTCCTGGCTTTTTGCATTCTGTTCTGTAACATATCCATATTTGTCTGCATTTAAAATGTTTTCAGTTACTGACTACTACACAGGCCAAAAGATACACTAACTTATTCTGTGGTTTCCACCACACTTAGGAACTTGAGCTTAAGCCTTCCCCATCCTTTAACAGCAATGTGCTTATCATCTGAAAGTGGGTCCCTGAGGGAAAGGGACAAGGATTGCTGTCAGGTGGGGGTATGGTAGTTGCCCCTTGGCAGCTAGAGTGTCCCAGAAGCCAAAGAGGATGAAGGAAAGGAGGAGGAGAGAGAGAGGGGAAGAGAGGAAAGACTGTGAAATGATATTAGAAGACTAGGAAGAGCCCCAAATATGGCCCAAAAAAGCACATGGAAATAACTTGGAACCAAGTTACTGATTAACACAGTAGTTAAGAGACTACATTTTTTATTCATTATATTTTTCTGATTCATCAAAAAAGACAAAGTACTTTGTCCAGAGCAAAGCGGGTTTTAGCTCGAGGCAAATTGTTTAACCTTGCTGGGGTCCAATCCACAAAGCATGAGCTCAAGCGCTGCTCAGCCTAATGAGGTGTAAATTTTCCAAAACTCTTCGAAGGCGGAGAGCACTATTTGAATATTATGTATTGCTGAATAAAATATCAGTTTATGAAGGAAACTCTCCATCGCATTATATGCACCTTAACTAGTAGTCAATCAGTAGATCTGGTTGTCGAAGTTTCATGACAGAAGGAGCCCAATTGTTGATCACTTAAAAGGGAAAACAAAAGAACAAAGAAATAAGCCAGTCACAAATGGCATGCACCATTAAGGCATTGGCTTGGTTCAGAGAGAGATTCCTGAGCTAAAGAAGGCCTCATTTACTGGAATGGAAAAATATAAGGCCAGGAAATTGCTCAGAGGTCTCTCGTCTTTTCCTGTACACATGGGATGCACTATGTGTTGGCTACTGTTTTGGATCAGGATCTCAGTTTTAGAAATAGCCCAGTGTGTCCTTGGGAAGGGAGAGAGTGTTGTGGTATATTTGTGTGTGGTGGTGTGGGGCAGGGGACCTGCAGCGGATATTGGGAGGAGCCAGTGAGACGCTCCCTGAATCCAAACTGTTTCCTTGGGCCTCACAGTCATCAGAACTGAGCCGGGAGACTGGGCAGCCAATCTGAGTGCAGGGAGCTTCCCAGTCTCCTGACCGAGATAGAGCTGAGTTGGTCCCACTGACAGCACAGGCCAATTCTGCACGTTCAAGCCCAATGACTGGTCTCAAGTCTGCCTATTTTTCTGGTGCATAAGTTGAGCTTTAGTCTCACAGTCAACAGGTATTTACCAGGCAACAACCTCTCACCAAACATTGTTTTAGGCAGTAGGAATATATAAGGAAACAAAAGACAAACATTCCTGTGCACATAGAGCTTGGATTCTAGTGGAGGAAAATGAACAATGAATAAAGTCCGCTATATGGCACATTAGAAGACATGAAGAAAAATAAAGTCAGGAAGGGGAGAGAATAGGGAGTGTTTGGCAGCCAGTGTTAGGGTGGCCTCACTTCAGAGGTGGTATTGAGCAAAAACTTGAAGGAGGCAAAAGAGGCATGTGGGTATCTGGGGGAAGAACTGTACAGGCAGAAAGAACAGCAAGTGAAAGACCCTGGGGTGGGAGAATGCCTGGCGTGTGCCAGGAACAACCAGTGGCTGGAGAGTGGGAGTGGAAGAAGCAAGTAAGGGGGGGCGGGTAGGGCATGAGGTCACAGGAGGAACAGGGAGAAACTTCAGGTAGAGTCTTGCAGGCCACTGTGTGGACTATGGCTTTTACTCTGAAATAGATGGGAAATCACTAGAGAGTTTTGAGCAGGGGAATGACAAGATCTGATTTGCATTTTAATAGAACCTGCCTGAGTATTGCGTTGAATAGGCTAATGGGAGACCAGGGGAGAAGAGAAGAGTCTGGAGGCCGTTACCATGATCCCAGCAGGAACCTCTGGTGGCCCGACCAGGGTAGGGGCAGTGGAAGTGGTGAGAAGTGTTTGGATTCTGGACAGACATTGAAAATAGAGCCCATAGGATTTGCTAATTAATATAACAGGGTACTCAGCTGGCCTGTCGAGGAACACATGAGTGAACTGGGAAGATTTAATAAAGAAGGAAGGGACACAGCTAGAGCAAGCAGGATTCCCGTTGTTCTTCCTTTGCTCCTTTCTTTAACTGAGGGTCTGTTATGGGGCAGGCACATTAAGGACTATGAACTAACAGGATCCCTACCTCATGGAGAAAAGAGTCTGTGGAAAGAGTCAGACATTAAGTGAATAATCTCACAAATCCATGTAAAATGACCACTCTGACATGTGCTGAGTGTCGGTGCTGAAAAATAAAAGTATTTTAAAGTAGATCTTCAGACTTTTTTAGATTTCAAATTTTCCCATTAAATGCTGTGTATGCCTCATAGAAAAGTCCTGCTTGAGGGCCAGGAGCACACAACTCTTACTTAATACTCCAGTGGGACAAAGCCCCCAGCCCGTCACTCCCATCATAGTTTAAATATCTCTGGCAGTTTTAGTAGCAACACAACTTTGTCTTCTTATCCTTCCCCTTGGTACAGTTTAGGATCAATATTTATAAGTGAAAGGCTGTGTCTTCTGTGATTCAAGGTGAGCCCCAAACTCTGCCGGAGCCACACAGGTGTCTGGGGACCATGATGATATATCACTGGTTTATACAAAGCACACTGAAAACCAAGAAAGGTGAAGATACTTGGCTCACAGGCACAAAGAATGTTACTTCTTCCTCATATTGTGGAAACTACATGCCACAGAGACAGATAGGGGCTAACTAAGGAAGGATCTCAGAGAGAATGAATGTCACCTAAAAGGCCAGGAAGCCAGCTTCTGGGACCCACGACTGTATCCTTAGTAGAGATAGGGTTTCATCATCTTGGCCAGGCTGGTCTTGAACTCCTGATCTTGTGATCCACCCACCTCAGCCTCCCAAAGTGCTGGGATTACAGGCATTGAGCCATCACGCACTGCCATGGCTCTTGTTACCCTGGGTTGCCTGGGCATTATCTAAATATCTGGTATAATGCTCTAAGTTCAGTGGGAGCTTTCTGGCCTCTACCTGTTCACTTTACTCTCTTGAACATCATGATAGAGGATGAAGAAGCTGGACCTCACACCTCTGAGTTACTACCCAAGACATTGTGAGGGGCTGAATGGTAAATGGAGGGCACAGGACAACCTTGCAGGATTGACACCTTCAGGTGCCTTTGCCTGACCAGCATGGATCTTCTAGCTTTGACACCACTGGATGCCTGACTGCTCACCAAGAATTACAGCAGGCACTTGTTTTTACTTACAAAGGAAGACTACTGCTAATTTCTTTAAAACAGTGTCTACAAAGA